CCGTGGTCGCAAACACCGCAGCCCCTCACCCGCATACCGGCAGTCCTCCCCTCTCCGTGGGCAGTCCACCTTTCCAAAAGCTTTCCTCGATGAGAAAAACTAAATGAGGCCGCTAAAGGGGGTACGGCTGCTTCTTGGTTTCCTCGACATCCCCCACCGACTGTGTCTTCATCTAATTTAATTGACATAATCATCAAAAAGGTGAGACTGGCAGCACTTGTTGATACTGGAGCATCAATTTCAATAATTAGCGAGAACATTCTAAAAACGTTAAAGCTTTTTACTACACCCTAGGACGGTGGCAGTCTCCGTGGTGCCAACACGTCCCTGATATATACTCTTGGGCTAGTTTCCGTTGAAATTTCTATCGATAACGAGCCTCATCGCCATTGCTTTGCTGTCTTGGACAATTGCACACACGACATAACTTTAGGATAGGATTTCTTAGCCAACCGACGTGCACTTATTGACTGTGGCACACGCACACTTCTCCTCGGCTAAGATGCGAATGACGCTTCCACATCTAGACAACAATGTGTACCTTTCCGCGCAGTGAATCACACACGGATAACACCATTTACTGGCGCTATTGCACAATTGGCAGGATCTGTGACGGACGACACCTACGTGCTGGAACCAAATCGCGAAGTGTTATTTCAGAAGGGACTTGCTTTACCCATGACAATTATAACGTGTACTGCGGCGAAAACCACCTTTTTTATAGCAAATACCACTAACATTGCACAAGACTTGTCGGCTGGTACCTGCGTGGCGTTCACAACAATTAACAGCATAGAGTATGTAAATACTGTCAGCTATCATACTGTAACTCTCACATCTCATTTGAATGATCACCATGCCTCCTTCAAGTTGCTTCGGAAAAACGTTAGCACTGATTTGCCACCAGAGCAGCAGGATACCCTATACAAGCCATTATGCTCCGTCATTGACATTTTTGATTTTAACTCATGGCCTCTGGCTCAAACATCTGCCGTCAAACACACTATCGATACTGGAACAAAAAAACGCATACGCAGCCGTCCGTATCGAGTTTCACGTTCAGAACGAGAAGTCATCCAGAGGCATGTGAGTGACATGTTACAGCAAAATATAAGTGAAGAATCCGCAAGTCCCTGGTCTTCTCCCGTAGTGATTGTGAAAAAAAAAAAAAAGTTGGCACATGGCGTTTTTGTGTTTAGTACAGACGACTCAACAAAATTACAAAAAAAAAGATGTTTATCCCCTTCCCCGAATTGATGATGCCCTTGATACGCTACATGACGCCAACTATTTTTCGTCGATTGACATGCGCTCGGGCTACTGGTAAATTAGCGTTGACAAAAAAGATCGAGAAAAGACAGCGTTCGTATCACCCAATGGACTTTACCAGTTTCGAGTCATGCCTTTTGGCTTATGCAATGCTCCTGCAACTTCCGAACGTATGATGGATTCGCTACTCCGCAGGTTGCGCTGGACAACACGTCTGTGTTACCTGGATGACGTTGTCGTATTTTCGTCTACTTTTTCCGAACATCTATCTCGATTGACAACTGTTTTAGAATGCTTCCGAAACGCCAGCCTTCAACTTAACTCTAAAAAGTGTCTTTTTGGTACACGAGAAATAAAAGTTCTTGCACATGTCGTCAGCCGTCACGGAATATCACCAGACCCAGAGAAACTCCGCGCTGTTACCGACGTTTTACGCCCCGCAACAGTTAAGGCACTCCGTTCATTCCTTGGACTCTGTTCATATTTCCGACGATTTATTCGCATATTTGGTGCCATTTCTGCTCCATTAAACTCTCTCCTCAAAAAAGATTGACCGTTCGTGTGGTCTCAAGATCAAGAGGATGCATTCGCAACCCTGAAGACCGCATTGACCATCAAGCCAGTCTTGTCACATTTTCACCCTGCTCTAGATATCGAACTTCACACCGATGGTAGCGGTCATGGACTTGGTGCGGTACTGATGGAGAAGCAAGACGCTCACGAACAAGTTATCGCATATGCAAGTGGAACTTTGTCCAACGCAGAGATGAATTACGCCATCACTGAAAAAGTATGCCTTGACATAATTTTGACAGTCAGCAAGTTTAGACCTTATATATTTGGACGTCCGTTTAAAGTGGTTACTGACCACCACGCTCTGTGCTGGTTATCAAACTTGAAAGATCCTTCTGGACGTCTGGGACGATGGTCACTGAAACTCCAAGAATACGACGTCTCCATATTCTATAAATCGGGGAAACAACACGACGCGCCTTACTGCTTATCTCGGAGTCCCATCTCACCCTCCCCAGAAACTCCCTCAGCTGCCGTTGACACAATAGCTTTGACCTCTAGTTTGGATTTTGCTCTAGAACAAAGGAGAGACCCACACTTACAACAGATTTTCCACTGTCTGAACAAAACCCACCTTACCCGCCACGAACAACGGCTAGTTGGCCTCTACACAATGCAGAATGACGTACTACTGTATCGTCGCAACTATGACCCACATGGTCCTACTCTGCTCTTTGTCGTTCCAAGACATCTCCGACCTGATATCTTAGGTACTCTACATGATGACCCCACAGCTGAACACCTGGGCTTCATTAAAACTTATATGCGTGTGCGCAATACCTTCTACTGGCACGGCATGTACCTCGACATCTCCAAGTACGTAGCATCATGCGTCCAATTTCAGCGACAAAAAAGTCCAACGACCGCACAAGCTGGACTTCTACATCCTCTCGATCGACGTCACTGCCCATTTGAACGCATCGGTGTCGACCTGTTGGGGCCCCTCCCTCTTACACACAACGGTAACCGCTCGGTCATTGTTGCCATGGACCATTTGTTACGTTATGCAGAGACCGCTGCCTTACAGTCCGCAAGCTCAGACGAAGTCGCCACATTTCTCTTACACAATATCATTTTGCGACACGGCCCCCTTCGTCACATACTGAGCGATCGAGGAACGGTATTTCTTTCCCAGGTGATACAAAAACTATTACATCTTTGTGGAACCATTCATAGACCCATAACAGCATATCATCTACAAACAAATGGCTTGGTGGAACGTTTCGATCGCACCATTGCCGATATGATTTCCATGTATGTCCAGTCTGATTAACGCCAATGGGATGCTGTTCTTCCGTTCGTTACTTACGCATACAACACTGCCGTTCAAGACACTCATGGCTATTCTCCATTTTACCTCCTCCATAATCTCCCTCCAACCACATTCTTGGACACGTTCTCACCTTACCGTCAAAATGACGAACTTCCCGACACTGAAGCACATCTCGTGTGTCGTGCTGAAGAAGCGCGCCAACCTGCCCGGCTACGCACATGTACATCCCAGCAACGCCAATGCCGACGGTATAACAAGGCTCACCGCCCTGTTTCATATGAAATAGGTGACTTTGTTTTGCTCCGAACACCTCAGCGTCACCAGGGCTTGGTGACCAAGTTCCTCCACCGCTACATCGGCCCGTACGTAGTCGTGCGCAAGCTATCCGACCTTTCATACCACGTGCAGCAACAGCAAGACACTACTGACCGACGCCGAGCAGCCTCCGATGTAGTCCACGTCGGCCGCATGAAGCCCTACACCCCCCGACCCACCCCATGAACCACCACCACCCTCGTTACAAAAAAAAAAAAAAAAAAATATATATATATATATATATATATATATATATATATATATATTGTTAATTGCGGTCGGGACGACCGCGAAACAAAAGGGGGGGGGGGGGGGTAATGTTACATAGATGAAGAAAAAGTGCGCGCCAGGCAATTGGCTAGGGAGCGCGACAGCTCGAGCTGAGCCCGGCAGTTCCAAATAAAAGCCGTGCGCCAGAGACTGTCTACTCCTTCAACAACACCGTAACAATATATATATATATATATACGCGTTCATTTGTTTACATAATTGTCTTTATTTGTGGCTTTCGGGGGGCCAATAAAATAGAAATAGATTAATACCCACTTGATTTTAATGTAGTGCTCATCGAAAAACAAAACGGACCAGCGCCGCGCATGGCCTCGCTTGGGTAAGTGCCTATAACTCGCTCCAGTAGCGTATGCAGTTAGTCGGATGTATACGGTCAGCATATACAGCTATTCCGGCTTAGAGTAACATAACGGATCCGCAATTTGGCTGATCGCGTAACCGCTAGAGTCACAGTATCTGCGCGAGGCCATGCGTCCATCTATAGTGAACGGGCAGGAGAGAGGTCCAGGAATTCTGCAGCGGGAGCTTTCGTCGCACATACGTTCCACGATTGGAGCTGCGGTACTCCAGCACCGCCGTGCACAAAAAGAATCTGTTGATTTCTGAATATCTTGGCCCGGTCTCTAGCTGATACGTTTGCGGGAAGGTTTAAGCAGTAAGATACAAAGATGGAGAATATCTGCAGAATCTTCTTTTTCATGTTGTCCCAAAGTGAAGTTCAGAGGGAAAAGAGGCAGAACACGCAAGTGTTGTGTGAAATAAAATATTTATCTCGTATCTCTGGGGTTGCCCAAAGGGAAAATTACGATTAGTCAAAGACGTGCCGCTATTTCTAAAGTGAGTGACGTCAGATGTTTACTACGTGACTAAAAAAAACGTGTTTGTCAATGTAGTATGCTATTGCTACAAGCAAAGCCTAAAACATAAGTATTTTGTCAAACGATAACCAAAAACGGCTATATCGAAACGATGTATTCGTGTATGCGAATGCAACTATACTTTAGTCTTTTTTTTGTTTACTACTGCTATGTTTGGGTATTATATTATAGTATGCATTTTATATCCACTATAGTGAATCGAAAGTTGTAAGCCTTCTGGCCGTTTAGATATTGAGGTTATCTGACCTTTGTATTACGGATCCTTGCGTTCCACTACTGCGTGGTGTTTACCTAGTTCGCATAGCAGGCATATTGTGGTAAGCCGTCATAAGTTGTCATAACACACTCAGTTGCACTCAAACAGAAATGCCTGTGCCACATATTGGGATTCTGTGATAGCGCTAATGGCGTTTGAGGATGCCATAAGAAGTCCGTAGATGAGTCATCCCCATTCTTCGACGGTGCAGCTTCTGTGGTAGCGGTCGGGCTACGGGAGGATGTTTGGCGCTGCTTGAGCCGACCAGCATCTCGGCAACGAAGGCGACAATGGCGAGTCCCAAGACCATGGCCCAGAGCACGAAGCTGGCCTGTGTGTCCTTGAGGGTTAGGTCATTGGCGGAATGGCCGCCCCCTTGCCGCACGCAGCGCTGCCAGTCGCCGAGGCTGTCCGTCATCCATTTGTTCACCAGACCGCTCTCGTACAACCAAGTGATTCTAAAATATCGACAAAAAACAGAAAACATTGGAAAAGTGCAGTGTCTACGTAGGGAATACATGTTCTACGTCATATATGTAAGGTAGATGCACAATAGCATTATATATGGTCACAGAGGAACTCGAAGCCTCATAAGATGTGGGACAATACTCAAGGAATTGCAACATACTTGTGTAACAGAAAAACCAAGACAATTTATATACTTTTCAAATATATATTTTTATATATATTATATAAATTCAAAAATATGTTTTTAATTTATTGCACCTGCTTAGTCCAAAAACAAGGGGGTGTATGATCTAAAATAAATTCCCATGCAATATCAATCGAAGTATATCATATCGCCTCTCTGGTTTGTTATTAGTTTGGCAGGAACCACGAGGTTATTAGATAATGGACTTTATTTTCTCCGCACAAAACCTAGTCTATATATTGGCGCCATTTATATTAACTGCCCTTGAAACGAAATGAACATCAGACACACAGGCACGAATGTGCTCGTTATGCGTAGTTCAAAGTAATAAATAACTTAATACAACAAGCAGAGACCCATGTCAATAATAATAATAATAATAATAATAATAAAAATAAATTATTTTTTATGAAGCATGGTGGAGCAAAGTGTAAAAGCCTGAAATGAGGCTTGACCAGCCCTCGGCCCCATACATTAACCTTGCAAAAAAAAAATATATATATATATGTATATATATATATATATATGCACGAGATTACAAGACAGTTATTCATCACCTAAACAGATGGCATGCACAGTCGTTGCAGACAGAAATCCGAAAAACACAAAAACAGTGCTTTCTATATAGCATAAATAAATTTAAAGAATCATTTGAGTGGGGAAGGTAAATCACTGCTACATATAAAGAGAACGCCAAGCCTTGAAGGAGATAGTGTCAATGCAAATTTCTGTTTCTAGAAGGAAATTTATCAGTTTTGGTATGGTATATCGCAATATTTGCCTACCATAGTTAGAGTAACAGTAGACAACCTTCCAATACTCCATGTGTCTAGTAGGGTGAACGTGTAGATTTGGTGTCAATGCCGCTTGAGTTGACATTGATTTATAATGTTTCCTTTTTTCTGATTTTAAATTCAGAATTAATCTGTATTCATAAAGGCTATGAATTTTTAATAAGCTAAACTTCTTAAACTAACTGCCTGGAATAAGGGGCGCAGCTCCATATGTTTCAGATTTGTCATTCTTCGCTCTTAAAACGTTCGAATAACTTGTCTATACATTCAAGTGGTTCTTAGGCAACACTAAATATGAAAGGATGATCGTCTGTGTCAGCGCACCGCATCTGGTAGCTCGTGAAAAGAAAACTACGGCTGCTTAACCGACGGATCTATGCTATATTCCTCACCCCTGCCCCTCTTTATGTAAATGAGCATTCTACCGGCGTGCCGTTGTATATTACTACAGCGTGATGAACGTTAAAGGGTGCCAGGCTAGCTGTAGTACAATACTACCAAATGTATCATCTAATGTTCGGACATCACAATTCTTTTGGGGCTGACTAGCTTCTCGCTGTCTAAACATACACACGACACAATTACTTTTAGGCAGGATATAACGTAAGTTTGTTCCGGTAATCTTGTCGCTGCTCCTTTTCGGACAAACACACAAAAGTGGATTTAAACAATTTGCAAGTGGGGTTTTGTGGCGAGTCCGTTTGTAATGATTAAACTGGGGTATTTTTTTAGTTTAAAGATCAGCGATAATTTTAAACGAGCAAACTATAAATGAGTTTAGAAAGCTACTCAATGTTTAGATTGACGCTGAGAGATTCATTGGGCCGTGACACCCCTGTATAATGTTTCCAGAATAATGTTTTAGATGCAGAAAACATACGATCATTATGACGGTGCAGAGTTAAGGGCCAGGTTCCTTGACGCTAATCAGCATCATGAAAATTTCGGCAAGGTAGCCAAGTGGTGTCTGCCTGAAAAGAGGAACTCTAAAAGTAATTAAAGATGAGCGTATTCCATTCGCTGGGCACGTTCGGTCACAGTACACGGCGATCACGGACAACAGGTGACTACCTCTTGTTCAACAGATGTCTACAATCTATCACGCGATGCATCTTTGACGATCGCCGCGCGCGGGGGCACCTCACCTGACGTATATTTTGCGATGGAGGGCCCTCGGCATGGCCCTGGAGATGAGAAAGGAGAGTGGGTTCTCGTCGATGTGCTCCCGGGCGAAGTGGAATCCCTGCACATGGTTGCGGCTGCAGAAAGCCGCCATGCGCCACTGGAGGGAGTTGTGGTCCACCATAAGGACGGCCTGCCGTCGGAGCACCTGGATCATGTGCTCATCGCGGAACATATCTTTGCCGAACTGGGATCCGTTCCTCTGCGATACCATCTGCCAAACCCGGCTCAGCTCGGGAGACCTCGACGTCTGTCAACAAGGGCGGAAGCGTCCAAGTTGGTTAGCGCCGCGGTTATGTACTTCATACTTCATACTAAAACCACATCTCCGGCAAATATTATAAGTATCAACAACAACAAAAAAGAGTAACATTCTTGAGACCCTTTCTGGTGTGAAAATGTCTGCCACACTATAATTTGGTCAAGAGACCGCGGGGTCTGTAACCAGGTGAAGAAGAGTGCAAGGGCGTTAGTGGCAGTGCTGCGTTTAAATAATGCTAACGCTGAAACAACGGTGAGCTTCGTTGCTTCACCGCAATTATTAAACTGTATTCACTTTACTGTATATACGGCAGCAGTTATGCAGTATAAATGGTTCCCATAAAAGTTACGTAAAGCTGTACATTCTAATTAATCTCCCTGAAACCATTACGATGCGAAAGCGATCCACAACAAACAGGAACAAAAGATTACATTTTTCTTTAATTATTACTACGTAAATGATAAGTGAACGTAGTGTGTTCCTAAATAATGAATGCCACCCCAATTCATTTTCGACTTCGAAGAACCGAGCTTGTCGATTTTGATCCGGATCAAATTCAGTAATTCGGGTAGTGGTGGACAAAGCTGGCCACTAATTTCGCAATTACTATAAAAAAAAATCCGTCTAAAGTGTGCTAACAGCCAATACTAACCACTTCTAGCGCATGACTCGAAAGGGTTCTGTATTGTTTGTGTCCTGATAAACAAATAGATAACTCATTCTCATGTGTCAATGCTACGCAGACGCCCCTTTCCTTCTCGCTCTCTCTCTCCCCGTATCTTGATATACGGGCGTCAATGCATGTACGCGGGAGAGTGTTCGACCGGTGAAGCGTCCGAGGTGATTTACGCATCAATCCTCATAAACCCAAGTTGTTCTTGCCACTCCGGTGTTGGCCCACTTACAAAACACAACTTTTGGCGACGAACATGGCGAACACATCTACGGACTGATGAACGAATCTACCAGTACAGTCAAGACGGAAAGCTAGTCAGGCGCACAACAGGAATCAATGATTATTCACACGGAAGCATACAGGATGGCCACCATTTGGAAAGTGGAACCTTTTGATGAATCTCAGTCAGATTGGAAGTCATACGAGGTAAAAGTAAACACATTTCTAAGAGTGAATAATATTCCAAAAACCAGCAAAACAGATGCGTTCCTGAGCATTGTGGGTCCGAAAGTGTACAAGTTACTGAAGAGTATGACCACCCCGAACAGCCCTGCTAGCCGTTACTGAAACTGCAGAACGCGTTAGGAGAGCACGTTTCACCCACTCCATCATATATTGCAAAAGGGCGAAGTTTCACAAAACAATGCAGCATGATTCTTAAAGCATCGCGGAGTTCGTGGTGGGCATCAAACAATCTGCAGATAGATGCAACCCTGGAAGAAATTAAAAAGAAACACTCAGACACAAATTAGGTGTGGTTAGTCTCGAATAGACACCCAAAGGAGACGTTTTGTGGAGGATGCGTCTTTTACGTTGCAGAAAGCGGTTAAGATCGCATTATAAATAGAGGCGGCTCCCATGAACGTAACAGCCTGCCGGGATATTCCAACAGCCCAGGAAGAGTTCCGATTGCTTTTTACAGAGGAACGCATTGAACGGGACAGCTCTCCGTGTTCGTGATGTGTCTTGCCTCAACACAATCGGGCGTGCCTATTTCAAACCGCGACGTGTTTTAGGCTCGACCGAGTGGGACATACTCAGAAAGTATGCCACTTTTAATCGACGTCTAGTTCCGACCCCCCAAAGAGCGAGCGGCCATGAAACAAGGCGGAAAGACTTCCGCAAGCATGGCTTCGGCGTGTTCGAGATCGACGAGCCACTGCTTCAGACAACACAAAAGAAGTCGGGTCACGGACCGATATACTTTACAATCTATGTTCAGGGAGTGCCACAAAAGATAGAACTGGACGCTGGAGCAGCAGTATTGGTGATGCCGTACCGGCTTCTTTGGCCATCTTTTCCGAAGATGAATCTAAGACGTACTTCATTGTTGCTTCGTAAGCTCACAGGGGACTGCGTGCACCCGAAGGGGACGGCGACAGCAACCGTGGAGCATCAGTATCAGTCTCGCCACTGCCTCTGAATGTTCTTTCCTGGGAGGGCCCTTCCCCTATTGGAAGAGACTGCCTGCACCACCTTCACCTAAACTGAAGTTACTTCAACCACGTCGACGCTGAAGACCAGCGTACTTTTGAACAAGTCCTGTATGGGCATATTTAGTTTTTTATACGACGAACTCGGCCAGATTCAAAGTGAGCAAAGCTCAACCTTCTATCAAGCCTCAACTTCACCAGAAGCTATACAAAGCTAGGATTAGTACGTTCGCGCTGAAAGAAGAGATGGAGAAATAGCTTGAGAAGCTTGTGGGCCTAGGAGTGATTGAGCAAATAGAGTACAGTCGATTCGCCTCGCCAATTGTTCCGGTGATAAAAAAAATGGCACCGTTCGCGTCTGCGGGGACTATAAAGCATCGATGAACCCGTGTCTAACAACTGACAATTATCTTTTACCCAAGATTGAAGCAATCATTGCCACACTATCGGGAGGACGAATATTCTCGAAAATTGACTTCAGTTGAGCGCACCAGCATGTAGTAATGGACAAGGTATCACGCGAGTACTTTACCCTTAATACCCATAGAGGACTGTTCGCAGTACACCGCCTAGCAATGGAAGTCACGTGGTTTGTAATATTGAAATCACAGCAACACCAGAAAAAAAATAGAACCACGATCGAGGCCCCCGTGCCAGTCAAATAAAAAGCAGCTGAGAACGTTCATGGGCAATGTAACTTACTATGGATTATTTCTACCGGAGCTGCAAACTCTAATATACACACTAAAAGGACTGCTTTGCAAAAATGCGCCATGACTGTGGGGTAAAAAGGGCGATCAGACATTCAAGAAAAAAATATTTTGTTAGTAGATGCGCCGGTGTTGTCACACTATGATCCCGAAGTCCAGTTTAAAGTACTGTGTGATGCCTAATCACACGTGTTGAGGGCAGTACTCGCTAGGGTGAAAATAAATGGTGCCAGATGACAGATTATATTCGCCTCCCGCACGTTATTCCGAACTGAACGGAGCTACAGCTAGCTTGAACGAGAAAAGCTAGCGTTAGTTTTCGAAATCAAGAAATTCCGTTACTATATTTATAGCAGACAGTTCTGCTTGGTGACAGACCACAAGCCTCCGCAAACAATTCTAGGTCGAAAAAGAGGAATACCAAGCATTACTGCAGCTCGTTTGCAGAGGTGGGCTATTACGCTGTCTGTTTTCCGTTACAATCTGATATATTGCCGCGCGCGCAACTTGCCATGTAGGCAGCGCGGTCGTGGCCTAGCGGTTACCGTGCCTGTCTCCGACGTGAAGTGCCAGGGTTCGATTTCTGGGAGCGACGCGTCTTTTGTTTATCTTTGCGGTTTAGTGTTTAGTCAATTCTATAATCTTGTTGTTTGTTCGAGGTGCGAATGTTCTCGTCGCCGAACTTTCTAGGCCAATCGTTCCAGAAGCCAACGCGTGTACATAACGGGCTCCGCATGGCGATCCTCAATCAATCTCTCGTCCGCGTTCGACTCTGCTGTTACGCCGACTTCGACGGCCGCGAGGCTCTGCTGTTATCTTCTGTTTCCTTTTTTTGCGTTTTTGGGCACAAGTTTGCCCCATTAAACGTGTGAGTTTCCCCCAATCATTCTTTGCTTCCTGGCCTGTTCCTTCGTAACATTTTGGTGGATTTAAGGTATTACAACCTATGCTTGTAAACCGTACCACTCCGAAGACACGCCGGCCAAGTGACGTGCTCAGCCCCGGGAGACTACCCTTCGTAGAGGACTCCAATGCCCGAGCAAGCCACCGTACCGAAGGCCAACTCCCGGAATTTGGACCCCTGCCAAAGAAGCCAAAAAAGAGGACCGCGACGATGACTACCCCACCTGTCGTCATCCTTCCCATCACTCCCCGCACTGCGACGCCTTTTCACGGTGAAGCTCACAGGAATATAGATGACTGGCTGCATCATTATGAACGTGTAGCCCGCCTCAACGGATTGCCGGATGATCAGCGCATCCAGAACCTCTCCTTCGCGCTTGAAGGCATTACGAGGCACTGGCTTGAGAAACACGAAGCCTCCTTCACTTCTTGGAAGACATCCGCCGCCGAACTGAAGCGGACGTTCATCAACTACCACCGTCGGCAGCCAGCGGAGGACCTTCTTCGAACAAGAGTGCAGGGCCCCAACGAACGCATTACAAGCTTCGTCGAAGATGTCCTGCTTCTAAGTGCCCGGGCCGATCCGGAGGCCGCCGAGGCGAGACTTCGTGCTCCCATGCGTGGCGTGAAGGGGTAAATTTTCGTAGGATTGGTACGCAATCATTGACGATGGTGAATGGTTTCGTAACCGAAGCGACCAGTATCGAGCGCGTCCTGACTGCCCGAGAAAAGCCACAACCGCCGAATCGCCGGCGTGCCTGCTGCTCCAGCTGTCGCAGTTTTCTTTCTGAACCTGAATACCCGCGGTGTCGACAGCCTTCGGGAGATCGTCCGTGAAGTCGTCTGGGAAGAACTCCGCAAGATACTCCCCGCTGCGGATCGCCCGTTCTTACTGTCGCTCGCCGAGGTAGTCCGATAGGAAGTTCACCGAGCCTTCCAACCTCAGGTTCCGATCAACACGACGACGCCAGAGGAACCGACTTTCAGCTACGCCGCTATGGCCCGACGACCGCCGCAACCTAACCGCCAGGCCACTGCTCCACTCCGACGAGACCGTCCGATGCCGCAGTATCCTCGACGCCAGGAAGGACAAGTCCAGGACGTCCGTCCGGTGCGACCCTCGCCGAGGAAGACTGACGTGTGGAGCACGGCCGATTGACGCCCGCTCTGCCACCACTGCGGGGAAGCCGACCACATATAACGCGGCTGCCCCTACCGTCGACTTGGGCTGCGTGGTTTCTAGCCGTACGACCCACGTCCGAGGTACGGCGAACGCCCTCGCGATATCGAGGAGTACCTCCGACGCTCGCCCTATTCAGTGCCGTGCCGTGAATATCCTCGACATCGCCTGTCCGCCGTGAATATCGCCCGCCATCGCCACGACGCTCAGTGTCTCCAGCGCCCCGACCCCGCCGAGAGAGCCTGTCTCCCCTGCGTCGCCGGGAAAACTAAGTGCGGCAACGCCTGGAGGTGGCGTTGCCGAAGACGACCAAAGTAAAAAGCCTCCAAGATCGCCGGAGCGCTCCCACTGTCCCGAAGCCACGCATTGCAACGACGCTCCTCCAACGGTGCCCAACAACCTAAAAGGTTTTATCGACGGCCACGACGCGTCTGCCTTCGTGGGCACCGGAGCAGACTACTCAGTCTTGAATGGGAGGCTCTGTCGCAGCCTCCGAAAAGTTACGACACCACGGGGACCACAAATTCGAACAGCCGGAGGACACCTTATCACGCCTGTCGGAAGGTGCACTGCTGGCGTCGAAATTCACGGCGAAAGGTGTCCTGTGAAGTTCGTCGATCTACAAGACTGTTACAGAGACGTCATTCTTAGCATGGGCCTTCTCTGCGAACACGGCGCCGTCATCGACCTAGGTGAGAACAAATTGACGCTGTGGACGCCTGTTCCGCCTGCAGAGATACCCCAAACAGCGTCAGCCGCCGTCCAAATTGACGTGAACCACGTGAACCTGCCGCCGCGATTAATTGTTGTCGTACCCGTCGTGACCAATATAGCTACCTGCGGCAAAGTTGTTCTGGAAGGAAACCTTCAATTGCTCCGGGGAAGAGGAATAGGCGTCGCAAGGGGAGTACCTGAACTTTAGGATGGCCGCTCTGTGGTGCTCATCACGAACTTCTGAAAAGAAATGCAACACCTCAAAAAGGTGCAGTTGTGGGCCTCGTCGGGGAACTCCTGGACTCCGCCGAAAACGCCGCGATTACTGAAGAATCTTGACCACCTCAGCAAGACTGTATGTCGCCAGAGCAGCTCGACATTGACCTAAAGCTTCCGGGCCCAAAAAGACGGCAGCTGGCTAACCTCCTCGCCGAGTTCCGTGACTACTTTGCGACGTCTTCGAAAGTTCGCCAAACCACAGTTCCGAAGCACCGCATCATTACCAAGGAAGACGCGCTCCCCGTGCATCAATAACAGTAGAGTCTTCGTAAAAGGAAGGGAGGTAAACCAGGAGCAAGTTCAATATATGATGAACGACGACATGATCCAACCTTCAAGCGGTCTATGGGCCTCCCCAGTCGTACTGGTAAAGAAGAAGGCCGGAACGCTTAGGTTCTGCGTGGACTACCGGCAGGTGAACACGGTGACGAAGAAAGACGTCTATTCACTCCCCCCGCCCCCCCCCCCCCCCCCCCCCCCCCCCATCAGCGACACCTGAGACCGGCTGCGCCACTCTCGATACTTTTCATGGATGGACCTGAAGAGCTGCTACTGAAAGATTGAAGTGGACGAACGGGACCGGGAGAAGACAGCTTTCGTCACGCCGGATGTACTGTCCGAGATTAAGGTGATGCCCCTCGGACTATGCACGGCGCCCCCAACTTTCCAGCGTGTCATGGACACCGTACTGGCAGGACTAAAGTGGCAGAGCTATCTCGTCTACCTTGTCGACGTCGTAGTGTTTTCCGGCGGCTTCGACGAGCACTTGCGAAAACTCCGACCTGTTCTCCAAGCCATAGGGACCGCCGGACTCATCTTCAGGCTGTCAAAGTGTTGGTTCGCCTATGACGAACATAAGGTTCTAGGTCACGTGGTTAGCAACGAAGACGTTCGCCCAGACCCAGATAAGACTCGCGCCGTCCCGTCATGTCCAACGCCGACAGACAAGATGGCCGTGCGAAGATTCCTTGGACTTTATGCCTAGTAATGACGCTTCGTTAGAGATTTCGCAAGAATTTCCGCACCCGTCACAACCTCACGAAGGACGCCGAGAGGTTTGAATGGGCCGAGGAGCAGCAGCAGACATTCGACGAGCTGAAGCGACGACTCAAGACGCTTCCTCTTCTTGGACATTTGAATCAGGATGCGTAAACCGAGATTCACACTGGCGCAAGTAACGCAGGTCTTGGCGCGGTACCAGTTCAAGTACAAGAAGGCACCGAGCGAGTCATCGGCTACGCAAGTCGGACGCTGTCCAAGGCGGAAAGAAATTACTCCACGACTGAAAAATAATAGCTTGCGGTCGTCTGGGCACTCACGAAGCTTGGTCCGTACTTGCACGGAAGCCCGTTCGGCGTAGTCACGGACCACCACTCGCTCTGCTGGCTTGCGAAGCTCAAGGACCCGCCTGGACGCCTCGCTCGATGGAACCTCTGACTACAAGTGTTCAACATGACTGTAGTTTACAAGTCAGAACGCAAGCACAGCGACGCTCACTGCCTGTCCAGGGTCCCTGTCGAAACACCTTCCTGCAGCAACGACGACTATGCCGACGAGTGCTTCCTAGGAGCAGTGAACATAGAGGACATGGCACGACGTCAACGAGACGATCCGAAGCTGCGCGCCTCAATTGAGAACCTGGAAGGGTGCTGGAGTACCGTATCACGTGTTTTCTCACAAGCCTAGCCGACCTTGGCCATTCGACAAGGTGCACTCTACAAAGAGAACTTCGGGGGCAACAACTTGCCGTGGATGCTGGTCATCCCAACCGGCGTTCGAGAGGAGATCTTTCAAGGATGTCACGACGACCCGACGGCCGGACACCTTGGTTACAGCCGGGCCGGGCGTGAAAAGTATTACTTCACCAAGCTCCCCAAAACCGTTCACATCTATATATCCAATCATGTCACGAGTGCTAGCGACGCAAAAAAGTGCCGACGAAGCCGGCAGGTCTCCTGCAGCCAATTCCTCCGCCAACTGCACCATTTCATCAGGTCGGAATGGATCTACTTGTTCCTTTTTTGCCGTCGACCCTGGGAAACCGCTGGATAATTGTTGCGACTGATTATCTCACGCGGTACGCAGAAAGGAAAGCCCTTCCTTCAGGGACAGCTGTTGAAGTCGCCATGCTTTTCATTGAGTTCATCGTCCTCCGGCGTGGCGTTCCCGAAGTTCTGATTTCTGATCGCGGATCGTCGTTCATGGCACAGCAGACCTAAGAAATGCTTCGGCTCAGCCACACAAGCAATCATCGCACCACCCGCAGACCAACGGGCTGACGAAGATACTCAACAAGGCCATCATTGACATGATCTCCATGTAAGTCGACGTGGAGCACAAGACATGGGACGAGGTGTTGCAGTAGGTCACATTTGCCTACAACACGACCGTGCAGGAGACCACCCAGGTGACACACACTTTCAACTGGTTGACGGTCGCAAAGTAACAACAATGCTGGACGCGATGTAAACCCACGAACAGACTGCCGACGGACGCGACGACGCCCATGTGGTTGCCCAATGGACAGAAAAAAAGGAAGTCCGTCAGCTCGCCAGAGTCCAGATTAAATCCCAACTACGTGTTGACACTGGCCGCTACAACCTTCGTCGTAGGGACATCCATGTCCAGCCCGGAGACAGGGTGTGGGTCTGGACACCGATCCGCCGCCGTGATCTCAGGGAGAAACTCCTGAAACAGTATTTTGGACCCTACAAGGTACTTCGTCGGCTTATAGATCTGAACTACGAGATGCTGCTTGATGGAACAAGAACATCATCAGACCGCCCACCACGACCTGATATCGTCCACGTCATGCGCCTGAAGCCGTAATATGATCGATATGACTGTGGATCTTATGTGTTCCAAGTGACTGTTTAGTTTTCCGTTTTTTTTATTTATATTTTTGTTTTGTGCTGCAGTGGCGCAATGCACATTTTAAGGAAGGGACTAATGGCGCCCGCGCAACTTGGCAAGCAGGCAGCACGGCCGTGGCGTAACGGTTACCGTGCCTGCCTCTCACGCGAAGTGCCAGGGTTCGATTCCTGAGAGCGACGCTTTTTGTTTATCCTTGCGATTTTGTGTTCTTGTAAATTCAAGAATCCTGTTGCTTGTTCGAGGTGCGAATGTTCTTGTCGCCGAACCTTCTGTGCCGATTGTTCCAGAAGCCAACGCGTGTACATACAGGGCTCTGTATGGCGGTCCTCAGTAAGTCTTTCTAATCCCTAACCTTGATATAAGGGCGACGCATGCACCAGGGTGAGTGCTCGAACAGCGGAGCGCTCGAGCTGGTGGCCGCATCATGTCTTATGTCATTAAACTCGAGATGTTGTTGCCACTCCGGTGTCGGCCCAATTCTAAGACACAACAGTGTCCTTTTCCAGACGCACTGAACTTACGACGCAACGTGTCAGTGCCCTTTACGCTCAATTGAATAGGTCATTTTTTGCGTCTCGGATCAAACCTGAGTCAAAATGGCCATGGCCATTACCGAGAGGAAGGCCTCATAGTGGGATCCCTTCCAGACGATGGGTCTGAGTCGTCCCTTCGAATATGCGACATCGCGAACACTGTCCACTTGGGCCGGCTCGTTCTTGATGGCCATGCTGGACTTGAGGTGACCGGCAAAGGAGTTGGCGATCACCAGCACCGCCATAAACCAGGTGGTCAGTACAATGCGGCTGGACATCTGGCTACGGTCCTTCGGGGAACCTGGGCAGAGGCACACATAGACTCGTTTAATGTTCTCTCTGATCACTTTTGTCAGGGAATTCTCACGCAATTTGGGAGAAATTCAGCGGTAAAAATTAGCGTGGACGCCACTGTACATCCTTCAACTAGACACGCCACTCGTTTTGAGTTATTTATTTCAGTTTACCAAGCAGCACCAGAAGCATTGTTTCAGGGGAGCCTTCTATAATATAGTTATCTAATGTTAATATTCACAGAATAAACCAGCATATATTATTCCACTGTAGGGTGATTCCACGTCAGTTCATGCAATGATGGTCTTGATCATAATTTAGATATTTTTGTTAAAAGTATATATGAAAGCCATGTTCTTGGGATGAACATTCAGCTATATATGAACCCCGTCAAATTGTTTTCGCTGATATATGAAATAGAGAAGCTCGAGGCGCAAAATTCAGAAGATTTCGCAATGCTAATTTGCACAGTCGTCATTTTTCATCGAATCTTTCACGTCACCATAACTTTTTATTACGTTGTACAAAATATATAAAACACATACACAAAAAGTTCAAAATACCAAAAACAATATTTTTATGAAAAAAAACATGCCATGAAAATGCTTTTTAGAGACATATTAACAATTATTTTGCAAATAAACCATCTTTCATAATACTCATCAAAATATCAAAATTCGCTTTTCTAAATATTCTTTACGAATATATGAAGATAATATGCCCACCCCTAATTGTCTTTTTGGTATTAACGCAGAAATGCGGCTGATTTTTCAAAAATTTGGCAAGATCAGGCGTCGATATTTAAAAAGCTTAATCTTTTAGTGGTTCCTTTAACTCCCCTTGGCACTTTGAAGTGACTTGAACTATTCTATGATGGCAAAAGATTGAGTAACATATAACCTCCGGAAGGGAAAAGGTACGACAAGCCTTCACTAGGAGCGAGCCGGCTTTGTCTTATAGCGTCGCCTTCATGGAAGCGTCAAAAGCTGGAAAGCGGGACTCTGCCGTAGAGAGTGAAAAGCCCTGCTGTTTCGAGCATTGCTTTATCGTTGTGTAGCCATACCCCTGCCCCCTTTACCCACCCCTCAACTCGAACAAGAAACGCCTGCAAACATCACTGCTGGCGGCAGTTACGAATAGTACCTTGAAACCCAAAGCTAAATACGTGAAGAGTCAGTTACTGAAACTAAGGCGAGGGTGGTTGTAAGGGAAAATATCTAGGTCAGTTGGTCAGGAAACATTGCAATCTAAACCCTGAGACGAGGAAATTCAGGAATAACGGACAGTGCGAAATGAAATCGCGAACGCAGCTGCACTTCTTCACAAGAAGAACGACAGTAAATTCATGCCCACACAGAAAGAAAACAAATAAGGATGATAAAGACAGGCGACCGCAAAGACTTGACCGAACCTAACCGGACAAAGTAAATCACTGTAAGTTGAAAGACAGCAACGAGAACGGGCACCTCTCCCAAGGACCTAAGCAGATGAGTTTCATCAAGCTATGTGAACCGACCAAGGCAGGATCTCTAACCCCCTCTCCCGTTTTACCACCATAACCCCCTTCTCCAACACACACACACACAGACACACACACACACACACGCACGCACGCACGCACACACGCACACACGCACGCACGCACACGCGCACACACGCACACACACACGCACGCACACACGCACGCACACACACACACACACACACACACACACACACACACACACACACACACACACACACACACTACACTCCAACACCGAAAACGCCGAGAACATTTTCAAAAAAGGAAACTTTCACAGGGCAGTTCAAAACAGGAAACGGCTGACTATCGCTCTGTTTACAGGATATTCAAAGTCTTTGTTGCTCAATAAGTTGAACTCCAAACAAACAACACCAGCTTAACCATGCGCAACGCACCGATTATATATACAAGGAAAGACAGAAGTTGATAACCAGAAGGACATTTTCTTTCGGAACCCTGAGCGATTATTTGGAGCTGAGAGAGAGGAATTCAGAACCTCTCAAATAGCCATCCGCGAGGGCGTTTCAAGTTCTGTCATTTACGAAGCGTGTAAGAGCCTAGTGTCAAATCGAATAGCCATGGCACAACGATTCAGTGCCGTGCGATTGCTCCGTGCGGACAATCTACGGAAACACAAGAAGAAAGTGTATAGCGATAAGCGCCTCGTACCGGTAGGGAGACTCAAGAAAGTGCGGTTGGAAAAGCTGCTGGCTCCACGGAAAGTGAACAAATCTGACCTTTTATGCCAGCATTGCTACAAATACTTCCATTTTGAGATGGCTTCACCTCACAACGTGAGTACATCAAACTCTTCTTTCTGGGACTCTGATGAAATTCTGGCTGAAGTGAGTCGAGACTTGTGTGCAGCGAGTCCGTCGGTAACTCCATTAAAAACCACGTAAAATCATTACACAATAAAAGGAGCGAATGTACTCGAAGAAAAGACAATCTCAAGTGACTTCTTCGGTTGGAAGAAAGCTGTCAAGCGTTTATGGCGTAGAAACCGGCGGAGACAGTTGTGAAGGCTGAGCGATGTGGTTGGACGCGATCCGCAAAGCGCTGAAGGCATGCAGTTCCCATCCGGAACGCAAGCGATTGTACACGCTAATGCCACCAAGCATATCGAAGAAAGAAATATTGCGACTGGTGCCGGAAGCGACTCCCTTAGCGAAAAGTCATTCAAAATCAGTATACTGAAAGTATACTAATAGTGAACTTAGGGTATATACTGAAATCGTACTAGTTTCACACTTTTGTGAAACAAAATAGTATACCTTTAGTACACCCCAAGTACATATGTTGTATACCATAAGTGCACCTCGAGTGTACTTTTAGCATTTTATAAGTGCACGTTTAGAACACTTCATGTATGCTTTTAGTGTGCTAAATGTACACTACCAGTACATACATGCGGAGTGTCCCAGATAACTTGCACCAAACTTTAAAAAAAAAAACAAAAAAAAAAAACGGAGCGTTTTGCGGGAGTGAAACCAACTGTACACTGTTAGAAAGTCTCTGGCGAAAGTGCACGAAATTATTTTAGTGCGCCTATTTATTTAATTAAGAGTAACAAGCTAACTTTTGAAATCTTCGTTTAAAAGCAGAGGTGTGAAATGGAAAGTCGTAGAGCGCATTAACAAACACCCAATTAAACCATTTTCAACAAGGTGCACTTTGCATGCTCCTTTTCCCTAGCCTACGAAAAAACGCCCGCGAAATACAAAAAAATACCCCGTGACAACTCGCTTCACCAGTCACGGCGTGCGAGCGCGCCGGGAATGTGCGTTCTTTGAAGGCCGGAAAAAAGCACGAAAACGTATTATGTTTCAAACACTTTAATTGGGTGTTTCTCAATGCGCCCTGCAACTTTACAATTGATATCTTGGCCCTTAAAAGAATATTTGAAAGGTTAGCTCACTAATCTTAGTTACCCTTAGCGAAAAGTCGTCCAAAATCAGTATACTGAAAGTATACTAAAAGTGAACTTGGGGTATGTACTGAAATCGTACTAGTTTCACACTTTTATGAAACAAAATAGTATAGTTTTAGTACACCCCAAGTACATATGTAGTATACCATAAGTGCACCCTGAGTGTATTTTTGGCATACTATAAATGCACGTTTAGTACACTACATGTATGCTTTTAGTGTACTAAATGTACACTACCAGTACATGTATGCGGAGTGTCTCAGATAACTTGCACCAAACTTAAAAAACAAAACAAAAAAAAACGAGCGTTTCGCGGGAGTGAAACCAACTGTACGCTGTTAGAAAGCCTCTTGCGAAAGCGCACGAAATTGTTTCAGTGCGCCTATTTATATAATTAGGTATAAAAAGCTAACGTTTGAAATCTATGTTTAAAAGCCGAGGTGTGAAATGGAAAGTTGGAGAGCGCATTAAGAAACACCGAAATAAACCATTTTCAACAAGGTGCACTTTGCATGCTGCTTTTTCCTAGCCTTCAAAAATACGCCCGCGAAATACAAAAAAATACCGCGTGACAACTCGCTTCCCCAATCACGGCGTGCGAGCGCGCCGCGAATGTGCGTTCTTTGAAGGCCGGAAAAAAGCGCGAAAACCTATTATGTTTCAAACACTTTAATTGGGTGTTTCTCAGTGCGCCCTGCAACTTTACAACTGACATCTTGGCCCTTAAAAGAATATTTGAAAGGTTAGCTCATTAATCTTAGTTATTTACATAACCAGGCGCATTAAAAAAATCTGTGCACTTTTTCAAGACGCTTGCTAACGACAGTTGATTTTACTCCTGCAGAGCCCTCCGGTGTTTTTTTTAAGTATGGTGCAAGTTATCTGGGACGGCGTGTATGTCGGGCGTTCTGAATGGAAAGAACGGTCTGAAATTGGCCAGAAAAATCGGCGCCTGTATTTAAAAAGCTGACTTTTCAAAGGCGTTTCTTTGAACGGCAGAATTCCAACCTGTGAAATTTTATGTCATATAGCTCCATTCTCGTGAAATGTTAAGAAACGCCGTTGACAACTCAATTGATGATGATAATGCAGAGGCGTCACCATAGGGAGATGCACTCTTAAAAATGAGTCAGGAAACTAACGAGGAAATCATTGGCAGCTCTATTTCTCGTGAGAATGACGTACCGGCATCTTCTGAAATTCTACGAGAAAAGCCATAAAGAAGAGGTGCATTGCAGTTTTCAACTGAAAGTATGTATGTGCAGCATACAAGCATTATGATCAGTGTTCTTCGCGTAATTGATAAGACAGATATTGAAATCCTACTTATCACTTTATTCAAGTTTCCGAGCCTGCCTCGCTGTACACTCTCCTTTGTGATGATAGTATGCCATTACATCCTGCGTAAAAAGAGAAGAGAAAATTACCCTATGCCACTCTATGACATAACATCACATAATTCGATCAAAGGACCACTATGTAAGGAAGGCAAGATAGTAACAACTTCATCCTAACAAAAGGGTGAGGAAAATCGGATAATATCGTTTCTGAA